TTAGTTAACAACAGATTCATTTCTTGCGGAGTTCCGTACAGTCTACTATGGAATGTAATTTCGATTTCAACAATGTAGTCTGGATTCTATAGGCCGACATATTATAGTACACAGATGTGTATCAGTATTTGGAAACCACGTAATTATTATTAGCAGAAAGATTCCACAAAGTACAAAGTACATTTTGAGGAGATTAAAGAGGCAAAAAGGAAAGTATATTTATTTTCATTATTATTACCAGTTATAGATGACATATTTTGCATGCCCAGTCACATGCCCAGACCCCAGCTTCGACAGGTTTGTCAAAGTAGTCTTCCTTACAGAATGGTTCGTAATTCACCCCTGGATTTGTGCCCTTTGTGCTTGTTTCATCAGAGTTCCAAGTTGATTAACCCCTATTGGTGTCAGATAATGCCTGCAATTTTTAATATTTGTACCGTGAATACATTTTATATTTAATTCAATATTCCAATGCACACTGCCACAAAAGCCTGTTTTCTTATATTTGGCATTGTTGATTAATGCATTTCATTGTGAAAACAGTTTGGTATGTGTAGATTATACAATTCATTAAAGATTTATCCTATATTTTTTGTTTTTATTTTATATAATTTTATTTTCATTCATTCTTTGCATTATCTAAAAAAGTTGTTACTACTTGTTACTTTGTTTATATTTTTACTTTAAAGAAGGACAATAACTGAATCTTTAGAATTATACATATACATATGTGGGAAGTTTCTGTCAGTTGCTGTATTGGAACTGGAGTCAAATAAAAGGGGCTGTCGTCATTCATCATTTCAAAGGGTCTTCGTTTCAAATATTGCTGGTAAAGATGAACAGGGTCTCGCTTCGTTGCTATTCCGGTGGAAAAAATGCGAGGTATTGTTGATCTGTAGTTATCCTTCCCCGTACCATCAAAGGTTTTGCTATCCCTCTCAGTATATTGAAGATATTGGGTACCGGTGGAATCGGTGAAAACTGATACATCACCAAATTTTCTGTGCTCGTCTCGGCCTCTAAATCCAAACATTTTCCCCAAAAAGTAGAACAGGGAAAATTGCAATGCAGCGGGTGGGGGGTTCATTTCACCCGCTGAAAATAAAGCTTCTTCGTCATCGTGGCTAATCGGCTCTGATGTTCTTGCTTATCTTCCAAAACCAGCCCTCTTCAGTTGCATTTTGTTTTAGAATTTAGTGCTTCCATTGATTTCTGAAATGGACGGTCTCTCAGAGAGACGGGATACCCTTTAGCCTTAAGATGCCGTTCTATGTTGTTTCTTATAGAATCTAAAGAACATGGCTCATAGTCAGAACCATTGGCTTTGCGAATGATTATAGACTTCTCAGTTAAATACGTGATCCGGAATGATATTTTCAATGCAGCGCGTCTCACGTTTGTTTTCATACAGCCATCGCTGAACATTTCTGATATCACTTTCAGTCGCCTGCTTCGTTGAAAGTTTCTTCTGTGATTCTATGAATTCATCCTCATTGTCAACTTTGGCATCTCCATTTTCAAATGGTTCAAACAGCTGGTTTTCTTCGTGCACATACAAACACAATAAACCGAAAGTACTGGCCTCTGCGTCCAATGTTTGTTTACTATAGAAAGTAGTTCTTTATTCACGTGCATCAATCACGTGGGGTGCAATGTGAAGGTGTTTAATATCGATGGATATTGAACGATTTTAACAATGTAAAGTTAACGGAGAAAAAAAGATCATATAAAAATAAACCTTTTAGAAGTTCTCTTTGTCTAATTGAAATTCAATCCATATGCACCTTAAAAAATTTAGTTCAAGATCATATTGCCTTTGGAAATGAAATAATTCGTATACCTTATGACACCACTGTGAATATCACCAACGTAATGTTACCTGACTGGGTTCTGGTAAAATTGGCGGAAATGGTCATTAAAAGATATGGACTGATTACTGCAAGTATCAGTGAAGTTGAAAATATAAACTTCTTGCAATTATGCATACAATGTATCTAGTTTAGATATAATACTTTGATCATTATAGTGGACATGTGGTGTGAAAAATAAAGTAGATTGCGATAAAGCATATATCTCTGGGATAAGAGTCTTCATTCTCGCGTAAACGTTGTTGTATTATTTGTGCAGTTGATGTGACTTTAAGAACGCAATAAGAGAGTCTTAATTGTTAATAATACCATGAAAAATTATAAACAAGATAATAGTAATTAAAAATAAATGAATGGAAAGTAAACTAAATGAATGAATTGTAAAATATTGATTATATTTGTGTATTTAATGAACACCCTCCAAAAATTGAGCACATAACACATCTTCCTCATACGTCAAAAGAAAGATTGGAGAGCCAACTTTGTGTCATTGGGGCACTTTATCGAAGAGATAACAGTAAAAAAGGCAATATGGAAGAGAAAACTATGATTTGCTTTATTGTGAAAAGCAAAAACTTGCATCTTTCCAATATTCACGAGAAAAGTCTCCATCTCAGATTATTTCCGGACTCAACAACCAGACGTATGGAAAACGACTCCTAGCATGCATCTACTCTATGCCAACGGATAAAAAGACCAGCGTGTTCTCTCACTCAGATGATGAATATTGCATTCAAGACATCATATGTAACCAAGAATATAAATAATTGCTCAGACGATGAAACATTCCAAAATTATTCTGATGAGTTGTCTGCATATTTGATGAAGCGAAGTTACGAGAAAAACGAGATGGCGTAGGCAGCACAGCATGTTTTAATAAAAGCTACAAAGATGAACAAAACAAGAACAACAAAAAGGTCGAAAGCAAGTTAAGACCGCACTGACCTATTAAATTATAGTGAAAATTATGAAAAAGTTTATTGGTAGTAGTTATCTTTACCTGCAATCCAGACGTACAAAATGTAGAATATACATCGTCAAGAAACGCAGGTCCATCACGGAATCCTTTGGCACACTAAAGGCAATCCTTCCAAAGAAACTAGAAGTAGCGTACTACTAGACAAAAAAAGCATCAGAGACATACTATTCGCACATTTAACGATAATACTAAGCCAAGACCATACTGACAGTTCTGAGCTGTGAGGGGATAAGGGTGCAAAACCTGTCAGAACACAATATAGACCAGTATATTCCATATCAAAGTGATGAGCAAAAAAGAACGTACAAAACAGATAATGTGATTTATCTCATCACATGTTAGACTTGCGACCTTTGCAAAAACAAATCAATCTTTACAAGAACAAAAAATGGATACAAGTCAAGAAGCTGAATATTTATTTTCTTCTGCCCATACATTCAGTTTGACTATAATAAGTTTCCGACAGGGGCAGCCGCAGTTCTAAAACCAGGACTGATAAGGAATTTTAATTTATACGTCGAGCAAGAACGCTGAACCAAAACAGCCTATGCCACCCGTCCTTACGCGCAAATTTGCACTTCACAGTCAGACTATGTAATAATTAGTTGCAATTTTACATTCACCTTAAATATGTTGTTCGTACACTAGAAAAATTTCACTTACAATCGCATGGAATCTTCATATAGTCTGTCCTGACCAAATCTTTGAAAACGGGATAAACTAAATAAGGACTTGATGGAGGAAGTGGAAAAGTTAGGATTTTTTGTTCATTCAGGAAATTTGACACGGCTGCATTGGTTTGCATACATGCATATGTAAGTACATACATACATACATACATACATACATACATACATACATACATACATACATACATACATACATACATACATACATACATACATACATACATACATACATACATACATACATACATACATACATACATACATACATACATACATACATACATACATACATACATACATACATACATACATACATACATAAATACATTCATACAAGAGAGATCGATTATTATATTTTCAAAATGTTTAAATTTATTTTATTTATATATTTATTAGCGATTTTCAATTTACGATGTTTTTGTTACTCGACAAACTCAGCTTTAAATGTTGGAAGCCAACAGAGAAAGACTTGGAATTTATGGCTATTGGGTTATTTGTTTTCAGTTTTGGACTTCTTAATATATCTTTAAGAAATCTGAAGGTAAATACTATCTCTTACTTTACGATAATTTAAAAAGTTCAGATTTCTTATAATTCGTTTAACGTAAAACAAAAACAAAGCAAAACAAATGCAAATTAACATTAGATGATGATTCGGTTTTATGAGCTTTGTTTGCTATTTAGCCATAATTTCTATGCAGTGAACACATCTGTTTCATGTTGAAACCAGTCTGACTGACTTTAGTTTCTGACAGTTTAAATTTCATATTTAAGGTCAAAGATTATTAAGAACTACTTTAAAATCGATAATGATATTTTCTAGTAACGTCATGATTTCTTCCCTGTATATTGTACACAAACAACAGAAGCAACTAATACAGCAGAACCAAAAGCTTGTTGAAAAGTGTTAGATTGCTCAATTATTGCATTTCCCCAAGGTATTGCTTAAATTAGTTATCTCAGTGGGTGTTTCATAATTACATAGCTTGAGAAGCAACTGATGAAACATATCCTAAAAACAGATCACTAAATATAGGATTCATTTTTGCTACCATGATAAAAAAGAGCAACCATACTGTTAGCTACAAATTAAAAACAATTTATGATTAAAATAAGTTGTGTTGAAGACCAATGCGTGTGACTGATGATCCATAGATGTACCTGAATCGCATTATTGATTAGGAAAATTGATTATCACCGATATAATGGTACTATTGCAGGTAGGATGGTGTTGGTGTTTATAATTTTTAACGTAGCTTTAACAATTTTTCAGTCATATCGCTACGATGTCTGTAGTGTGGGGGTTTATAGTGATGTCTAGCATTGGGGCATCATGCCGCAGACATGTAGCATGATGTCCCACCCAGTCACATTATCCTTACATCAGGCTAACCAGTCCTAACACTAACCTCTTAATGCTGAGCGTCAAGCGAGGCAGCTGTTTGTACCATTTTTGTAAGTTTTTGGTATGACTCGTCCGGGGATCGAACCCACGACCTCCCACATCCGAGGCGGACGCTCTACCCACTAGGCCACCAGAGCGGTTCGCAGGTAGGATGAAAACAAATCAATAACGATTTATTTTAGCAGTAACTGGTCCATTCTTAAAGTAAACTGTATTTTTGCGGTTCTGTTTAAAGCAAAAACAGGAAACAATTCAATTCTTGGCTTTATTTTCCTACTGATTTGCTTGATCTGATATCATAATGCATATCTTTTATTATTTTTCTTCTTCAATATATGGCAATCTGCCTAAAAATGCAATACATGCAAACATATATATATTGTTATATCTTCTTGGAGATTTTTCTTATCAAAATGATACAATCAAAAGAAACATTTAAACAAATCAAAACAGATGCTCTCGAATCTATCGAGCTAATGAGTTACATTAATTGATGTATTCCTGTGCGAGAATTGACCCGAAGGTGTTTAAATAGAATTTTATAGTGCACATTAAATTGTGTGGTCAAAGGCATCGTATTTGTTAAAATGAACATCAATGTTTGAGAAGAAAGTTGATATTAAATCTTTGGACAAAATACTTTCTATGATGACTTCATAATATATGAAATAGCTGAATACACATCTCTGCGACACAGAAAGAGAATGCCCTTTTCACTAAGGTCATCAGCATGGATAGTGAAGAGCCTGGAAGATATCTCTGATAAACGGGTACCAGAATTTTCGATTTTCTACGACGTATAATGAGGAAACGTCAGATCTTAATTGTATACAACGTAGAAATGTTGAGGCGGAGTACACGACTTTGATGTCCATTTCAGTTATATATATTTTTGGGAGGGGGGGAATTTATTATCATTTCCAAAAATTATATAAAATCAATAGTAAATATTTCAGCATTCCACGAATATTGCTGTCTGTGACGTCATAATGGGAGGACCTCAGCAGACGGAAATAAACCAGATGTTAAGAAAATATGCATTATTGTGTCAGTTTTGTGTCTATTAATAACAACAACAATCATTAATAGGCGATACATATAAAATTGTGTTTACGGCTCTGCGGTAAACAGTATAGGTATTAAATGGTTTGGGGAATTGAAATCTCCTATTCATATTCCAGTATGCATCATACTAACCAGGTATGTGGGTAAGATTATATAAAATTATCTACTCTGGATCTATTTATTGACCGGAGAGAGAAAGGTCAATAAGTTTTAGTTATTATTTATTATTGTTTATCATTTTAACAGCTAATACGGACGAGCGTATGGGCATCTAGGATACATTACAAATATGCACATATATGATATGTTATAAACATGTACATGTATGATATAAATATGTAAATGAATGATACAATACAAATATGAATATATATGATATATTATAAATACACACAAATAATGATATAATAGTTTTTATTGGGGGGATTAGAGACCGCATTTTGAGTTGAAAAATTGCAATAATGATCATTAAACAATACAAAATTTGTATTTGGGAAAATCTCTTCATTTGTATGACGAATGTCACGGTTCGCATCTGAATTGGATATTGTATTCTTTAATTTGACTCGTTTCCTACAAAAACAGCTTATCAGACAGCTGATTTTGACGAAGAAGAGTTGATTTTATTTTTAAATTAATGCATGTACATACTCACGTGCACTCATAAAAGAAATAAGGATCATATGTGATTGGGAACCCATAGGGATAAAATGTATCAGGAATTAAGTTAGCATGAGAGATGGTACAGTGGCGCTAATAAACATAATCAACGCGACCGCAGCAGACTGTATAAGAGGCTGAGATAATGCATTTTGTATGACTCATTTTTATAGTCGGGATCTTACTTGTGGGTAACTTTAACTTATTTTAAGTGCTGGTGAAAGGGAATTGTTAACCATTGAAGTGGGATATTGAAGTTAAAGAATGTTGTCATAATTTCCATAATTATAGGTTTTTGTATTAATGCTTATAAGGTGTGAGTAAATAAGTTATACAAAATTAAGGGCAGAGGTTAAATTAAGTACTCAGAAGACAAAGTGGTATTTTATTTATTAAAAGTATAACATTTGAACACATTGAAAATTCAAAGCTTGCGAGTGTCTATAGCACCGGAATACATTTCTATGGAGTGTATGAATTTCATTGCAGTGAGACTGAATTTGTGTGCGCGAGTTTGTATATATGTGTGTGTGTGTGTGTATGTGTGTGTAAGAACTCAATTAAAAAGCTTTGTGATAATCTCCAACAAATGCAAATTTCTTTTTTTCTAATGCAATTTATGCACATCATGTTGACAATATATGTATGATATTTGTAACCTTTTTTCTGTATCTTTTAAACAATATTGACATTTTTAACATTTTCACTTTGTAGGATTATATATTTATGTACATGTTGACGGAACTAACTTCATAGTTTGTTTTGCTCCGAAATTTGTTTCATCATTACGGTTTTAGAACTCGACATTTACTCAGCAATATATGTCTAGTATTGTGCTGGCGTGTCGTAAAATTCGATCCGATTTCGAAGAAATTAACATTTACTTTATTAATTTTATCCGCAGCATGAGATTCGCCATAGTCTCCTAGAGGGTTTTGCACTTTTGTCACCACTCATACTCATACAGTTTTCGATCTTTAAGGTCTACTAAATTTCACCTGAGTCATGTGTGATTGTGTGTGTGTGTGTGTGTGTGTGTGTGTGTGTGTGTGTGTGTGTGTCTGAGAGAGAGAGAGAGACTTTGTTATTAAGTATGCAGAAACGATAGGGTTATTTGCATTTTTGAATAAGTAGAGTGATACAGTAAAAACATGATGAAAAGAACAAAGTAGAATTTGTAGAGATTTGTTACAACGTGATGATATGATTTAGCGGTCATACAATATAGAATTTTTATGTATGCATATATATTTTTTTAAAACCCTTTAAATAAATATATTTGTCCAAATTTGTAGTAAATATCAAAATACAGAAATAGTTTGAGGAATCTATATAGGCACGTATAAAAACTATCACTTCGAACCATTATTAGCATCGAGACGTGACGGTGATGACGTCGAAGAGAAAGAGAGTCACTAAGGTTTTTATTGTATGTGCACAGTCCATGTTTATTAATAATTGAATAAAAGGTATAGATATTTTGAATATCCCGTCATTCGGTAAGAGAAGCATGACCTTTCTTCAGGATAAAGCGTTTCCTCATAATAGCATGCATTTGTGAACATGAAATTATTCTAGCTTTCTCAAATTGTATACATATATTTTTCAGAGTTAGCAATGGTATATTTTGGCCATACTTCGTGTCCATATTCTATATAAATAAATATATATATAAATACAGTATGGGATGAATACAAGGTTTTTTATAACACCCAGAATATGAATTATATTTAGTGTTGCTTAGTTGTCCAGAACATTATCAGGTCGATTCAACAGCATTATCAAAATAGTTCGACTCGGATCCATTGAAGTTACGGTTACTCCCAAATGGTGTGTGAAGAAATAAACTGAATATTCTTCAGGACAACAAACTGAAATACAACACAAGATATATATATATATATATATATATATATATATATATATATATATATATATATATATATATATATATATATATATCAAGCAACCGATGCACATCTAGTAAGCACCATAAGCCGGATATACAGCAAATTAAATCAATACCTAAATATACAAGACTAAACACTTAGATCTAAAGCATGTATCAGATGATGGCAGTTGTAGCTACTTCGTTTTATTTGTCTACATATGAAAGATACACATATACGCTCCTTGATCAAGTCTTTACGAGCAATTTTAAGTCGTTTAAATTTGAAGATGTTTGAAAAATACTAGCAGGGATAGATCAAAGGATTTCGTAAAGTGGAGAGGTGTTCACAACTTGGCAGGGGGTCTATGAAATGGAAACAGGGGGTGAAGGCCGGATCAGCACTTGATTAGGGAGAGTATTCTCTTATTAGCAGCTGAGAACCTGAAAGATTTGTAGCCCATAACTGGATGAGAGAGAGAGAGAGAGAGAGAGAGAGAGAGAGAGAGAGAGAGAGAGAGAGAGAGAGAGAGAGAGAGAGAGGGAGAGAGAGAAATCCAAAACATAGGCAGGCAGACCAGCACACGCACGCAAGCAGAAGTATGCTTCGTAGAAACATTTTAATTTGTTTTCCTTCAAAACCTTGTTTGCGGTTGACAAAAACTAAAACAAAATAAGAATCAAACGTTTTACAGGATTAATGTTTCACTGAGGATTTTTTTTAAACATTCACTAAACCATCTTGTTTAGGCAAGGGTCTTTTAACCATATTAAACGAAATTGATCGACGAATCTTGGGTAGAGACGATAACCCTGTACAAGATGAAATCGCATCTCCTCTATTGCCCGTATATTCCTTGAAAAACTTTGGAAAGCAGTACGGTGGCGAAACACTTTCACATCCTCAGGTTGCACTTTCAATTCCGTTTTCTTTACTGAATTGTCCATAGTTTGAAAACACGAGCCCACAATCGATCATATTGGATTAGGCAAAAAAACTGAAAACCAACGGCTGTAGCTAGAACGAATCATATGGGGTAATATTATGTACCTATCGTCATCACTATCATCATTCCCTTAACCCAAGAGATCACTGGGGCAATAAAGCCGACTTTACAACCAATTCTCTCCATCTTTTCATGTTCTCTACTCCCCTTTGGAAATCTTCTATTCCCATGCCTGTCCACTCCTTAATATTGTCTTCCCACCTATTTTTCTGTCTGCCTCTTCTTCTGCACCCTCGCACTGTGCCTTGCAAGATTGTTTATGCCAGTCAAGATAATCTTGAGACACGATCGTACCATTTCTGTTTGCGATTTCTTACAGTGGTTAAGAGGTCTTCATAGGATCTGATGGCTAATTGGGTCATGTTGTGGACCTCTTGGTTGGTTATATTGGTCAATGTATGCCCAAGATCTTGCGGTAGCATCTCATTTCGAAGGTTCTAATCCTTTGTAAATCTGATGAAAGCGTAAAGGTTTCACAAGCATATTGTTAGATGGATTTGACATATGAGCGCATCAG